TTTATCAATTAGAGTACAACACGTTCGCAAACTGTGGAAATAGCGAGGTTCTTGATAGTCACGGTGCAGCAAACTACGTAAATTATCTTGTTTTGTTCTTTCAAAGATGTTGAAGCAGACAGTGTTTTAGCTTAAAGTGACCGAGGGCTAAACCTGACCTTCCCTTTTTTTGAAAAATCAGGGGGTCAGGTTTCAGCTGATTCAAGTCGTGTGTTGCCAAGAGTGTTGTTCGAAGAGTCTCTCAACAGAGTTGTTCATCAAGAGTGTGTGGCGAAGAGTGTCTTCACAAGATCGTCACTTTGAGAGTGGTTGACAAAGAAGGTCTTTTTTTGGTAAGTTTACCCGGTGGGTAGCACGCTACTTTGGATTTTTGCCTTTGTCTTTGGAATCACATTGTCCAGTCCCGGGTATGTTTGATTCTGGGTGCTTTTGCGCCGCCTTGACTACCAGGACATGCACATCCTCCATTCACAACTGAGCTACTCAATGACTCTGACTCATTTCACGTCGCAGGGGGCTGGCTTTTCTGCTCGGGGGCTGGCTTTCGTCTCCCCCCCTTCTCAGGTATAGGGAAACAAGTTTAGCTCAATCACAAGACCAAATGCTTGCAACATGTGTTTTCCTTGTCCAAGGGTACAGGGGTTATACAATTTTGTCGTTTGGAGTCATCAGCTTGGGCACTTCCAAGTTTGCAGCTTGTGTAAAAAGAAGGCTTGCTTTGTTTGATGCTCAACCTGCCCCGCTGGGGGAAGAGATCGTTGGAACGTCCCTAATTGACCAGTGGGGCCAGGCATGGCTTCGACCCTTGAACTGGTCGAGCACTTATGAGCACCCGAAGTTCTTGGCCAACTTTCTTTCTTACTACTAGTAACAAGACGCTACTAGTAGCTCCTGGCATTATATACTACCAGTAACAAGAAGCTACTAGTAACTCCTGGCATTACTACTAGTAACAAGAAACTACTAAGAGCTCCTGGCATTATTACTAGTAGCAAGAAGATACTAGTAGCTATTTGCTCATTGGTTCGATTGGTTGTCCGAACATCTGAACCATGTTTGCATATGTTTGGCTCTCAGCACCGTCGGCAACGTTTCTTGGCTCGATCCGTGAAAGGTGGGTGCTTCGGAAGCATCTGTGAAATTGAGGTGGGAAAACTAAAGGCACAACTCGCAGAGTCTCGCCAAGATCTCTTCAAGAAGGAGTGCCTGTGGGAAGGGATCGGACAGCATGGATGGATGTGCAAAACCTGTAAACACAGGCAAAAAACAATTTATATGCAAAGAACAAGGACGTTCTGACACAGAAAAGAGAGACTGAACAAAAATACAACTTCAGACTGAAACGGGTGTTGTGTGTTGTTCTTTTATCGAGTCTTGAGTCCACAATTAAGTTTTGTGTATTTCTACCTTTAAAGCAAATTCCAATTTCTCTGGCCAAAGACAATCTGAGAATGGTAGAGTAGAGCCACTGACCAGCTTTTCTAGGGGTAAAGTCTTCACCTTGAGGAAGAGAATTGATTCTAGTAAGAAGATGCATCATGATTGGACTAGACTAGACCAAGGTCAATAGTCTCAGTTTGTAGCAAAGAGAGCGAAGTGGTCAAGTCGCTGAACTAGAGCCAATGAACTCAGCTCCGGTTCCTCGCCCGATTCCTAGATCTGGCAGGATGCCGCAAACGGCCGGCCGCCCAAAGAAGCCAGCACAGTGCTCGCAGGCGAAGATATGCGGAAACCGGATCTCTTGGAGTGAACTGTATGCTTGTGATAGGCTGATACGCAGTAGCTCGTTGATTCATTACTGTAATTGTATGTTTGTTGGGTGCGGGACTGCAAGCCCAACCTGCGATCTGGTGGGACATATCGGGGGCAGGTGACCTCGGTCGCAGGGGCTATACACTCCCTGAAATTATCATGGAAGTGGATGGCATGGCCCCTTGGATGACCATGAAATCCTCTACAATTAGGTGGTGCCATCCCTGTAATGATTGTTGGGTGTTCAATCCGAATATGGGATCCAAGCAGCAGTAGCATCAGGATGAAGAGGTTTGGCTTGTTGGCTCAAAGGGTCCGATTCCCTCGTCTTGGAGGGAGTGCCCCTTGTTGCGAGTTTGGACTCCGCACCTGGCAACGTGGAGGATGCTGACGCAACGGACCAACAAGCAACTGACCAAGCCGCCATTTTTCAATCCAGCCACAGCAAACCTGGCTGCAGGTTTGCCATAAGCTACATCAAGGCACAGTACACATAAATCATGTCTTTTGCCATCAAGCATCATTTATCACTCTTCATTTGCAATCAACCATTTACTCTAGGTTTGTCCCAATCTCAGAACCCTGAAATTTTTCATGGAAGCGGATGGCATAACGCCTGAACCACTCAAATTCCCACTCACTCCCACTTCCCGGCGCACACATTGGGACAGGCAGCTCATCGGCTTCCATCTGTGAGATTTCAAGGTGAGGACTGAGGGGAGATCGTTGAGTGACGAGTATCATACAAGTGCTATGAAAAGGTTGACAAATCTTGAAAGATATTGAAAGCAAACGGCGCAGCTGGCCATTTTCTTGTTTCCTTTTGACGGGTGACAACCTGCCTGCTACCACGAAACTTCCAAGGTTCAATTTGCCCTAGTGCCAGTGTCGAGATGCAGCAAGCAGGAAACTGTTGATGGGAATATTTGCGAACACCATTGCAGACGTTTCACTATTATACTATTGGAGGTGTGACCAACAGTTACTGTAGTCTTACGAAGAATAAAAGGATATGAAAGGGCATGCGGCATTGCTGCTCACCGGTCTACGACCTGTACCTTCTTCCCAACAAGTGACATCGCCCCGACGACGCTGCGCCACATCGTCACTATTGCGCCAGGGAAAATGCTCCTGACTACCAGGAACAGTAGCGGCGCTGCTCTGTGTGTGTATGTGTATGATTGTGTATGTGTATGATTGTGTGTGTGCATGCTCGGTGACAGTACTCGAAGACACAACGGACTCGGAGCTGTAGGGAGTGCAGTTGCTACTTTTGAGTTTACTTGCACCGTGATGACCTCATAGCTCACTTTTTTTTTGCGTGCATGTTGCGAAGAAGATATAGAAGCCACATGTCTGCTGGAACAACCTCGATCTTTTTTCCGGATACCCTCCAACATCCTCCGACCAACGATGTAGGATTTTTCTTTCAACATCCTTTAATCGAGCCATCATGAGCCATCTCATGTAAATGCACCGTAACTGCTCTATAAGGACATTCTATTTCAATCAGCTGGTTTGTCTCAATGATTGTGTTTGGTCTTGTCGATTGGGGCTCTGATGCCCTCACTGGTCTGCAGGAGGAGATAGCTTCTTTGCGGGAAGAGGCCAGCCGTGATGTCAGTGACCATCGGGCTGCCAGATCCAAGCTTGTGTGTTTGATGCTTCATCAAGGTTTATGGGGCGACAGGATTGTTAATTTGGGATGTCCGGCTGAGAAGTGCTTTGCTTTATTTATACATATAGTCGCGTTGCCCATGCCGATCTTCTCACTATTTGTTGTTGATAACGATCCATTTTTTAAGACCAACGTGGACAGCGATGAAGAAGGCTCAGGGGCTGTGAAGCAGAGGGAAATCCAGAAAGCGGTAGCGAGGACATGATTATATAGCATATTCTGAGTTCTGGGCGTTGGGTTGTCAACTCTTGTTCAACCAATTGGGCCCCCGAGAGACTGAAAATGTGACCGAGAGTAGAGTCCTGTGGGTTTTCTCCAGAGTCCTTTGCCGACAGCCGAATTTGGTGTCTTCAATTCAACAGGTGACTGGTATACAGTCAAGGTCCACAAGATGAGTCGTCCGCAGTTGGCACGGTGAAAGATTGACAGGAAGTCACAACTCGGGGATATAATGTATTATATAGATTGATTGCCTTGAAAACAATTCATAAGCTTTGAGAAACGCAGGGAGGACTTTGGTTCTGGGGTTGTTTTTGGCTATGGGTCAAAAACACCCTGTCCGATCCCAGGTCAACATTCGGTGTTCATTTCTGGTATGCTTTTTTGCGCTCGATGCCCACAAACTCAATCTTTGCCGCTTTTCAGCTCTGTGGTGCCCACGCAGTTTCGCCAACACAGCAGCAACTTGACCGCGAAGATGACGAGCTTGGCGTTCAGCACTCGCCAGCAGGGGGACCAAGCGCATTGGGAGTGGCATTCAGCCTCCACCGGGTTTGAAGGACATGAGTTTAAGAATAGAAATTCGGTGTTTGATGTGCAGGCTGTCACAGCAGCTCATTCGTGAGCGCGAGGACAGGCTGGCTTTCCAGCAAGAGGCAGGGCGGACCTGGAGCTGAGATGAGCTTCAGCAGACCTTGGTTTTGTTTTGTTTGCTTCACTTCAATTTCAAAGCTCAGCAGTCTACTTGACCGTGCAGTACGGCAGGCTAGCATTTCCGGGCAGAAATCACGAAGTAAGAAGTAGCACGGATGCTGTTACACAATGTTACATTGTTACACACTCAAGCAGCAGACTGTATGAGTTCCTGACCATGCAGGTCCGTGAGGGCAAAGTCCTTCTTCCTGTCAAGACGCAGCCGGTAAGCCTTGCATTTTGAGTTTCATTGCCTGCAACTAAAGGCTTTGAAACACATCTGGAAGTTCTTTAGACATTGAATTGTGGATCCTGGATCATGGCATAGAATGGTGAATGCGTAGCAGTTAGAGCCTGCAATTTTGATGCAACTCCCTAAGCCTAGCTTGTTGGTGATCCCTTAAACGTCATACACAACCTTCGAAACTGATTACAGTGAACATGTGGTGGCTAATGCACGAGCTATGGAGGTATTCATGTAAGTTTTTTGGCTCATTGCAGCTTCGGGCACTCTTCCACAGAAACAGCCAAGCCTTCGTCGATCTTTGCGAACCCATGGCTTCATGCAGCTACCAGTAGTTTGTTTCATGTTCAATCTGTTGACGACTCCCAACACATCAAAAAAGCTATGGAAAAAGCACCGAAGACCTTCAGAGTTGCATCCAGAGATATAGGTGACAAAGGGTTCTTCCTCGGGAAGAACCTTGCCCAGCTTGGTGAGATGTGATTTCGCAATGGCCAATGGTGCACCAAGATGCCACCCCGCCAACCGACCATTTCATGACCGATTGGAAAAGTTGAGACTGGACTGTGGATGCAAGGGCTACTACTCACAAGAAAAGACCTACTCTCGTGCACTGCAGGCGGTTCGCCGCTATCCTCTCCCTTTGCGCAGCACGCATGAGGTTGCAGACTTGGATGGCATGGGCAAGGCTTGTGCAAGAATCTTTGAGGAGATCCGTCAAAAGCAGGAGCCTGTCGGTCAAGAGGCAGAGGATGAGTGGCGCAAGTGTGCCAAGCAGCGCCTTTTGAAGGCTTTGTCTTCGAAGGCGAAGGTGAGTCGAAGAGAAGCCAAAGGGCTCAAGCCCCAAAGCTCTGTTGCGCAGCCAAAGAGTGGTAGACCTCGAGGCCGTGGCGGTAAAGGCCGTGGTGGCCGTGGCAAAGGCCGAGGGAAAGGTGGGGGTAAGACCTGGGACAAAGGCCGGAGCAAGTGCAGCAAGGGCAGCGAGGGCAGCGGGGGCGCGGCTGATCGTCATGCCGACATTGAGGAGGACGACCAACCTCTGAGTCAGCTTCTGAATCCCTCCACGCCTGATAGATCCCAGAGCTCAAAGCCATTTGTAGCACTCACTCCTCCGAGCCGAGCACACCAAGCGACGCCAGCAACGTCGCCAGAGCCGACCCAGGTTGCCAGCCAACGGAGCTGGTTAGAGATACCAGAGCCTCTGACACCGACCCTGGTCATGCGGTCACCTTTGACGGGTGGCTGTGAGCTACTTGCATCCGCTCTGGCCTCCGCTCCGGCCTCGCAAGACTCTCAGTCTGGGGAGCTGCATGTGGAACCTGTGAATCTTGGAGATGAAGGCGTGCCCGAGTTTTACTGTATTTTTGTTTTTTTTCGTGTGTGTGTGTGTCCACCCCTGGACAAAGGGTTTTCCACCGCCACTTCCTTCACCGATTTTCCACGAACTTTCACATGCAGGGGCGTGTGGCACTCTCGCCCTACCACACGCAACGAAGCTGTGGGCGAGAGTGTGAAGCAGGGCCTGATCAGCCCTGCGTACCTGCCGTTCTATCAAGCTGTGACTCCACTCTCCACGTTTTTGATTCATGGTTCTTCACGTTTCCACCCCCAAACCTTTTCCTGCCGCAGACGTGCAGCCGCGTTTGATCGTTTTGCAGCCGCATTTGAACGTGTGAGTGCACTTGTGAACAATGTTGAACAATACTTTTCAGCGGACTTTGCCACCTTGCCGTTCCCTCGCCTTCCTTCCCATCGGAGTAATTGAGTTAACTGAAAACCAGTGTCAGAGTGTGTCTCGCTCAGCCGTCCCACTCGGGTGCTGAGTGTGATCCCCGTCACAGGGGCGCTGTTTTTTGCATCGGAATTCAACCACCCCAACGTACCACTTCTCACTGGACCTTCACCGGAAGTCACGGCCACCCCCATAGAATCAACTGATGCATTGGCCGCCGGGCCCAAACACGGCAGCTTTCTCTTCCACCGGCTTTCTGATTGGTCTTGCACGTCATTTTTCTGCATGATCTCACATGGTGTACGTTTTGATTTGTACCGTGACCTTTTCGCCAGCAGAACTCAAGCTTGCACACTGGAGTTCTCAACTCTAATTCGAGATGCATGACCACACCTGACAACAAGTTCACATATCACACCCAGCTCAGCTTCACAACACACTCCCTGTCAACACGAGCAACGCGACTTTCAACAACACCATGACAATACAACTTTGCAATCTCAGCTGCACCATTGCTGCTGCGCCGCGCCGTGCCATTGCGAAGCCTTTACTACACAGCGCTGCCTTTCACCATCGACACGTTCGACTACGTCATGCATTTTCCCTGGCCATATGCTCAAGCCACACCACCACCACTCCCCACTACGCAACCTCAGCCCACATTGCCGCTGCCGCAGCCACAAACCGCACCCACCTTTCCATCACCACATCCATCGGCATTTCCTTATCCACAACCACAACCCTATCAGGCTCCACCTACCATGCCTATTCCAACTCCCACTGCGCTGTCCTACGGCACTCCCTCAGCCTGGACGATTGTGCAACCATCTCAGCCACCACCGCAACCCACACACCCAACCCCAGTTTTTCCATCTACAGCACCTCCCCCTTCTTACATGTTGCCACAATTACATCACACACCACCTACAGAACCTACCACCACTACGCAGATCCAGTCACTTCCAGCACCACCACAAGCAACAATAGCTCATCATCCACCCACAGACCCGCAGTGGACTATGCCCCAGGGAGTTTGGCAACCTTACTCAGCATTTCCCCCAGTCACACAACCTTCACCTCAACCTTTGCCTCCGCCGCCGCCTCCACTAGCCATCGGCGAAACACCACCAGCTCAACCCTCACTCCCACAACCGGCACCATTGGACCCTACAGCACCGGTCCAAAACGTCACCACGTCAGCCAAGGACCCTACAGCACCGGTCCAAAACGTCACCACTTCAGCCACTGGCTCCCAACCATCCCCATCACCATCCATTGCATCAGCCCCACCAGCCACTGCACCTTCACTACCTGCAACGGACAAGCCCGACAGCACCGCCTCGCCAGCGCCGCCACCACCTTCCCCACACCCACATCACAGCAGTCGCCGCCGCCACCACAAGAGCCGACGCAAGTCTGATCATCACCACCGAGGCCGTCACCACCACCGCCGCAGGCATCGACATCACCGCCACTCAAAGCATCGCAGCACCACCCGGCGACGCCGTTCGCCGTCAACCTCCACTTACTCCTACAGCCCCACACCTTCCCGCAGCCGCTCCCCACAACCCATCGATTTGCGTCCCAACACCGACAACACCAACACCGACCCCTCTCAATACCCCACCACAGCAGTCCTTCGTCGCCCACTCAACCGCTGGCGACCTCCACCCAACTTCCAAGCTCTTTCACCTACAGACCAACTTCTTGAATGGTTCGAATTTCATGCCAACCAACTCGACACCCCCAACCGACCACAGCACCAGTACATCGCCAATCTCCTTACCGACTGCAACATCACCTACAAGGAGATCACCGATTTCCGACAATACACCCACGCCAAGTGGAATGAAACCACTCGCCAATACGACCAATTCCAATACAACGCCATTTCACTTCCCTACCTCAACACCAAAGCCACCACACCCGAACCACCCGCGGTTTCCCGAGGCACTTCAACCCACCGGGAAGTCGCCCACATCAATGCCGGCCATACAGGCCCAGTCGGCAACATTGCCAACATTTTACGCCAAGGTCGGTTTCTACCCAGCACACTCCACTTTGCCAACTACCCCGGCTTTTTTGCCCAGGGCATCCGCATCACCCACAATCTACACCACGACCAAAGCGAGTTCGCTCGCATCATCCACAACACTTGGCAGCTCCACAAAAACACCCACTCAATCATCATCACACTCCTCGCCTGGGGTGCAGCCACCAAATACACTTCCGGTGGCGAAGAACAAGCCATGACCCTCCTCAACGAGCACCACGGCGCCGTCTTCCACCAGAAGGGCCGCTGCTGGGTGATTCACCCGGACCACGCCATCGTCAAAGGACTGGCCTGGTCCACCAACTCCACTCCGCCTGACATGTAACACCACATTCCATCACCTCCAAGCCACTACCACCTCCACCTCCACTTTTGTTTCACCCCACCACACAAACCTTCGCCTACAGCAGCGAAAAGACCTTTGCAGCAGTCCCGCGGCCCTTTTGCGTTTTCAAGTTTTCAAGCTTTGACGGTTTTGCTTTGCAGAATACCAATCCGAACCTTTTACCGGGTTTTTTCAGATGATGTCTTCAACATATGAAGGTGTTTTTGCCATTGATCTCTCAGTCGGACCTGCACCTTTTCTGACCATGCTCGCGGGAATTTGGTGCTCGATTAATTCATATGCATGGCCTCGTGATGACGTGCTGATGCTGACCAGCTGCCGCCCAGCTACTTTGCCGCGCTGCAGCAACAACCTGTGACGAACCCTTGTGACTGTACATCCCTCTCCGCCCACATCATGAGCAGCACAGTACCACCTCCACACCGCGACACACAAACTCTTTTACACCAAACCACTGTGACACTCTCGAAACCTGCTACGACAAGCAACTGACATCATAGCACACCTCCACACCCCCCACTTTCTCCACCACATCCGCCAAGCGGATCCCACTTTCCGCCAACATTTTCAACCACTACTACCTCCACCAACTTACCCTATACGTCTACCGTCCACCACCTGCGATTCAGCACCCTCCAGACCACCTATCCGCTTGCCACCGCCACCCTCCAAAGGCTCCGACGACACACCTTCACCTACCCCAACCCCACAACCTGCTACAACCCGCAAGCGAAAGCAGCCACCACCACCACCACCACCACCACCTAACCAGCAGGCAGACTGGGACGCATGGGATGGCGACGCCGATTGTCGCCTTGGGTGTTTGTTGCTCGCCGAGTTGGCTTCTCCGTCGAGCAATGCCAAGCCCGCTGGCAAGAACTCAAAGACCTGCAACATCTACAGGACCAACAACTCTCCTCCAAACCACCACAAGCAGATCCACAACAACACGAACCTTCCCCCTCACCCACTCCCACCTCACCAGCAGCTTCACCACCACCACCCTCACAACCGGACTTCTCTCCTTCTCCCAAGACAACACCACCGACGTCACCAGCTAGATCACCTACAGGTGATGTGCCACCGCTGCCGGCTGCTGAGCGAGCGCCCACTGAGACCAGGCATACGGAGAAATCTCCAAGCACGCCTATTGCCAACTATTTCATGTGATTTGTTTCACCCCCTCTTTCTTTCTCTCCGGCGTGCCACAGGATAAATCCACTGACTTGCAGCGACAATTTGATTCACCATCCTTTTGTACTCACAATACTTTTTGCAACATTGAGCTTTAAGTTTTTCACGTTTCCAAGGCTCACTTTAGCTCCGCAGCTTTTCGTGCGCCACTTTGCCCTGTCCTCTTGTACCTGCCTCCATGGCCAATCCTCGCGCTCGCCCACCAGTCAACACAGCAAACACAGAATACTACCTGCCACACCGCCCCCCGAGCTGGCTCCAACCTTCCATTTGCACTCAACCAGACTTCCACTCTCTCAGCAGCTCACTTGACCTTCTTTTCATGGTCAACCAACACATTCGCCGCCACCCACTCAACACCGACCCCATGCCAAGCCAGACGTATTTTCAGGACCAGAGAGCATACAACCTCCTTTACCGGATGCGCGGAGACCTGATGTTGATGGACCAGCTGATTGATAGCCTTGCCCAAGCTCGCCGGCTCCTCCAATTTGTCACCACCGGACCAGGCCTCCAGGGCGATATCGCATCGATCCCACAGCATCACTCTCCACCAGAAACCTAGCCATTCTATACAACACACCGCCAGGCTTCCCACTGCCACGCGGCCTTCCCAGCCGTTCACCCTCTCCAGCACCACGTACACCACCGCAAGACGCAGAACGCTTCCACCATTACTGGACAGGCCCTCCACCACGAACCACTCTGGCCCCCAACATCAGCAATGACACTCGCGCCCGAGAACGTTCTCGATCCCGTGACGCCCATAGTGGCTAACTACAGCATTCAGCGCCACAGCAACCTTGCAGCCCGAGACCTGCAGCGGCCGATGTGCTCCCTCCTTCACCTGAGACGGCTCCACCGGCCACAGTTGCTGATCCATCTATAATTTTAAGTCTCACCGACATTCTTCGGCGAGCACAGGCGAGAAAAACCTGGCCAGCTAACCAGTTTTCCACATTTCATGTTCTTCACCGGAGACTTTCTTTACCCAGTCGCACTTGACCATGATTCC